CGCTGAGGTCCAGGTTCCTTCCGCTGAGTACAAGGTTCCTGTCGCTGAGGACAAGGTTCCTGTCGCTGAGGATAAGGCTCCTGGAATTGTGGACAAGGCTCCTGGCGCTGAAGAGAAGGCTCCTGTTGCTGAGGAAAAGGCTTTTGGCACTGAGAACAAAGTTTCTGTCGCTGAGGAAAAGCTTCCTGGCGGTGAGGAAAAAGGTCCTGGCGCTGAGTACAAGGTTCCTATCGCCGAGGACAAGGTTCCTGGCGCTGAGGACAAGGTTATTGGTGCTGAGGACAAGATCCCTGTCACTGAGGACAAGGCTCCTGTAGCTGAGGACAAGGCTCCTGGCGCTGCAGAAAAGGCTCCTGGCGCTGAGGAAAAGGCTTTTGCCACTGAGAAGAAGGTTCCTGCCGCTGAGAACAATGTTCCTGTCGCTGAGGTCCAGGTTCCTTCCGCTGAGTACGAGGTTCCTGTCGCTGAGGACAAGGTTCCTGTCGCTGAGAACAAGGTTCCTGTCGCTGAGGATAAGGCTCCTGGAATTGTGGACAAGGTTCCTGGCGCTGAAGAGAAGGCTCCTGGGGCTGAGGAAAAGGCTTTTGGCACTGAGAACAAAGTTTCTGTCGCTGAGGAAAAGCTTCCTGGCGCTGAGGAAAAAGGTCCTGGCGCTGAGTACAAGGTTCCTATCGCCGAGGACAAGGTTCCTGGCGCTGAGGACAAGGTTATTGGTGCTGAGGACAAGATCCCTGTCACTGAGGACAAGGCTCCTGTAGCTGAGGACAAGGCTCCTGGCGCTGCAGAAAAGGCTCCTGGCGCTGAGGAAAAGGCTTTTGCCACTGAGAAGAAGGTTCCTGCCGCTGAGGACAATGTTCCTGTCGCTGAGGTCCAGGTTCCTTCCGCTGAGTACGAGGTTCCTGTCGCTGAGTACAAGGTTCCTATCGCCGAGGACAAGGTTCCTGGCGCTGAGGACAAGGTTATTGGTGCTGAGGACAAGATCCCTGTCACTGAGGACAAGGCTCCTGTAGCTGAGGACAAGGCTCCTGGCGCTGCAGAAAAGGCTCCTGGCGCTGAGGAAATCCTGGAATTGTGGACAAGGCTCCTGGCGCTGAAGAGAAGGCTCCTGGGGCTTAGGAAAAGGCTTTTGGCACTGAGAACAAAGTTTCTGTCGCTGAGGAAAAGCTTCCTGGCGCTGAGGAAAAAGGTCCTGGCGCTGAGTACAAGGTTCCTATCGCCAAGGACTCGCTGAGGTCCAGGTTCCTTCCGCTGAGTACGAGGTTCCTGTCGCTGAGGACAAGGTTCCTGTCGCTGAGGACAAGGTTCCTGTCGCTGAGGATAAGGCTCCTGGAATTGTGGACAAGGCTCCTGGCGCTGAAGAGAAGGCTCCTGGGGGCTGAGGAAAAGGCTTTTGCCACTGAGAAGAAGGTTCCTGCCGCTGAGGACAATGTTCCTGTCGCTGAGGTCCAGGTTCCTTCCGCTGAGTACGAGGGGTCCTGGCGCTGAGTACAAGGTTCCTATCGCCAAGGACAAGGTTCCTGGCGCTGAGGACAAGGTTATTGGTGCTGAGGACAAGATCCCTGTCACTGAGGACAAGGCTCCTGGCGCTGCAGAAAAGGCTCCTGGCGCTGAGGAAAAGGCTTTTGCCACTGAGAAGAAGGTTCCTGCCGCTGAGGACAATGTTCCTGTCGCTGAGGTCCAGGTTCCTTCCGCTGAGTCGCTGAGGTCCAGGTTCCTTCCGCTGAGTACGAGGTTCCTGCCGCTGAGGGCACTGAGAACGAGGTTCCTGCTGCCGCTGAGGATAAGGTTCCTGCCGCTGAGGACAAGGTTGCAGAGGCTGAGTACAAGGTTCCTGGCGCTGAGGACAAGGTTTCTGGCGCTGAGGACAAGGTTCTTGGCGCTGAGGACAAGGCTCCTGGCGCTGAGTACAAGGTTCCTGGCGCTTAGGACAAGGTTCCTGCCGTTGAGGACAAGGTTCCTGGCGCTGAGGACAGGGTTCCTGGCGATGAGGACGAGGTTCCCGGCACTGAGGACTAGGTTGCAGAGGCTGAGCACAAGGTTCCTGGCGCTGAGGACAAGGTTTCTGGCGCTGAGGACAAGGTTCTTGGCGCTGAGGACAAGGCTCCTGGCGCTGAGTACAAGGTTCCTGGCGCTGAGGACAACGTTCCTGGCGTTGAGGACAAGGTTCCTGGCGCTGAGGACAGGGTTCCTGGCGAAGAGGACGAGGTTCCCGGCACTGAGAACAAGGTTCCAGTCGCTGAGGACAAGGTTCCTGGCGCTGAGGAGAAGGCTTCTGGCGCTGAGAACAAGGTTGCTGGCACTGAGTACAAGGCTTCTGGCGCTGAGAACAAGGTTGCTGGCGCTGAGTACAAGGCTACTGGCGCTGATGACAAGGTTCCTGGCGCTGAGGACAACGTTCCTGGCGTTGAGGACAAGGTTCCTGGCGCTGAGGACAGGGTTCCTGGCGATGAGGACGAGGTTCCCGGCACTGAGAACAAGGTTCCAGTCGCTGAGGACAAGGTTCCTGGCGCTGAGGAGAAGGCTTCTGGCGCTAGACTAGGTTCCGGAAGGCTTCTGGCGCTGAGAACAAGGTTGCTGGCACTGAGTACAAGGCTTCTGGCGCTGAGAACAAGGTTGCTGGCGCTGAGTACAAGGCTACTGGCGCTGATGACAAGGTTCCTGGCGCTGAGGACAAGGCTCCAGAGGCTGAAGACAAGGTTCTTGGCGCTGAGAAAAAGGTTCTTGGCGCTGAGGACAAGGTTCCTGGCGCTGAGGACAAGGTTCATGCGCTGAGGACAAGGTTCCTGTCGCTGAAGACTAGGTTCCGGACGCTGAGAACAAGGGGACAAGGTTCCTGGCGCTGAGTACAAGGTTCCTGGCGCTGAGGACAAGGCTCCTCGAGCTGAGGAAAAGGTTCCTGGCGCTGAGGACAAGGTTCCTGGCGCTGAGGACAAGGTTAATGGCGCTGAGGACAAGGTTCCTGTCGCTGAGGACTAGGTTGCAGAGGCTGAGCACAAGGTTCCTGGCGCTGAGGACAAGGTTTCTGGCGCTGAGGACGGTTCCTCGCGCTGAGGACAAGGCTCCAGAGGCTGAGGACAAGGTTCTTGGCGCTGAGGAAAAGGTTCTTGGCGCTGAGGACAAGGTTCCTGGCGCTGAGGACAAGGTTCATGGCGCTGAGGACAAGATTCCTGTCGCTGAGGACTAGGTTCCGGACGCTGAGGTCTAGGTTCCGGATGCTGAGGACAAGGGTACTGCCGCTGAGGACAAGGTTCCTGGCGCTGAGTACAAGGTTCCTGGCGCTGAGGACAAGGCTCTTCGAGCTGAAGACAAGATTCCTGCAGCTGAGAACAAGGTTCCAGTCGCTGAGAACAAGGTTCTTGTCGCTGAGGACTAGGTTCCTGGCGCTGAGGACAAGGTTCCTGTCGCAGAAGACTAGGCTCCTGCCGCTGAGTACAAGGTTCCTGTCGCTGAGGACAAGGTTCCTGTCGCCGAGGACAAGGTTCCTGGCGCTGAGGACAAGGTTACTGGTGCTGAGGACAAGATTCCTGCCGCTGAGGACAAGGTTCCTGCCGCTGAGGACAAGGTTCCTGTCACTGAGGACAAGGCCCCTGTAGCTGAGGACAAGGCTCCTGGCGCTGAAGAAAAGGTTCCTGCCGCTGAGGACAAGGTTCCTGGCGCTGAGGACAAGGTTCCTGTCGCAGAAGACTAGGCTCCTGCCGCTGAGTACAAGGTTCCTGTCGCTGAGGACAAGGTTCCTGTCGCCGAGGACAAGGTTCCTGGCTGGTGCTGAGGACAAGATTCCTGCCGCTGAGGACAAGGTTCCTGCCGCTGAGGACAAGGTTCCTGTCACTGAGGACAAGGCCCCTGTAGCTGAGGACAAGGCTCCTGGCGCTGAAGAAAAGGTTCCTGCCGCTGAGGACAAGGTTCCTGGCGCTGAGGACAAGGTTATTGGTGCTGAGGACAAGATCCCTGTCACTGAGGACAAGGCTCCTGTCGCTGAGGTCCAAGTTCCTGCCGCTGAGTACGAGGTTCCTGCCGCTGAGGATAAGGTTCCTGCCGCTGAGGACAAGGTTGCAGAGGCTGAGCACAAGGTTCCTGGCGCTGAGGACAAGGTTTCTGGCGCTGAGGACAAGGTTCCTGGCGCTGAGGACAAGGCTTCAGACGCTGAGCACAAGGTTCCTGGCGCTGAGGACAAGGTTTCTGGCGCTGAGGACATGGTTCTTGGCGCTGAGGACAAGGCTCCTGGCGCTGAGTACAACGTTCCTGGCGCTGAGGACAAGGTTCCTGGCGCTGAGGACAGGGTTCCTGGCGCTGAGGACAAGGTTCCCGGCGCTGAGGACAGGGTTCCTGGCGATGAGGACGAGGTTCCCGGCACTGAGAACAAGGTTCCAGTCGCTGAGGACAAGGTTCCTGGCGCTGAGGAGAAGGCTTCTGGCGCTGAGAACACGGTCCTGGCGCTGAGTACAAGGTTCCTGGCGCTGAGGACAAGGCTCATCGAGCTGAGGACAAGATTCCTGGAGCTGAGAACAAGGTTCCAGTCGCTGAGAACAAGGTTCTTGTCGCTGAGGACTAGGTTCCTGGCGCTGAGGACAAGGTTCCTGTCGCAGAGGACTAAGCTTCTGCCGCTGAGTACAAGGTTCCTGTCGCTGAGGACAAGGTTCCTGTCGCCGAGGACAAGGTTCCTGGCGCTGAGGACAAGGTTACTGGTGCCGAGGACAAGATTCCTGCCGCTGAGGACAAGGTTCCTGCAGCTGAGGACAAGGTTCCTGTCACTGAGGACAAAGCTCCTCTAGCTGAGGACAAGGCTCCTGGCGCTGAAGAAAAGGTTCCTGCCGCTGAGGACAAGGTTCCTGGCGCTGAAGAAAAAGGTCCTGGCGCTGAGGACAAGGTTCCTGGGGCTGAGGACAAGGATCCTGCTGCAGAGGACAAGGTTCCTGGCCCTGAGGAAAAGGATCCTGGCGCTGAGGAAAAGAATCCTGGCGCTGAGGAAAAGGGTTCTGACGCTGAGGACAAGGTTCCAGTCGCTGAGAACAAGGTTGCTGGCGCTGAGGACAAGGTTCCTGGCGCTAAGGAAAAGGTTCCTGCCGCTGAGGACAAGGTTCCTGTCACTGAGGACAACGCTCTTCAAGCCGAGGACAAGGCTCCTGGCGCGGAAGAGAAGGCTCCTGGCGCTGACAAAAAGGCTTTTGGCACTGAGAACCAGGTTCCTGCCGCTGAGGACAACGTTCCTGGCGCCGAAGTCAAGGATCCAGGCGCTGAGGACAAGGTTAATGGCGTTGAGGAGAAGGCTCCTGGCGCTGAGGACAAGGTTCCTGGAGCTGAGGACAAGGTTTCTGGAGTTGAGAACAATGTTCCAGTCGCTGAGGACAAGGTTCCTGGCGCTGAAGTCAAGGCCCCAGGCGCTGAGGAAAGGTGCCTGGCCCTGAAGTCAAGGTTCCTGGCGCTGAGCACAAGGTTCCTGTCGCTGAGGACTAGGTTCCTGGCGCTGAGGACAAGGTTCCTCTCGCTGAGGAATAGGCTCTAGCCCCTGAGTGCAAGGTTCCTGTCGCTGAGGACAAGGTTCCTGTCCCTGAGGACAAGGTTCCTGGGGCGGTGAAGGCTTCTGGCACTGAAAACAACGTTCCTGCTGCTGAGGACAAGGTTCCTGGCGCCGAGGAAAAGGGTCCTGGCGCTGACGAAAAGGGATCTGGCGCTGAGGACAAGGCTCCTGGCGCCGAGGAGAAGGTTCCTGGCGCTGAGGACAAGGTTCCAGGCGTGTGAGGACAAGTTTTCTGCCGCTGAGGATAAGGTTCCTGGCGCTGAGGACAAGGTTCCTGGCTATGAGGAGAAGGTTTCTAGCGCTCAGGACAAGGTTCCTGGCAATGAGGACAAGGTTACTGTTGCTGAGGACAAGATTCCTGCCCCTGAGGACAAGGTTCCTGCCGCTGAGGACAAGGTTCCTGTCACTGAGGACAAGGCTCCTGTAGCTGAGGACAAGGCTCCTGTCGCTGAAGAAAAGGCTCCTGGCGCTGAGGAAAAGGCTTTGGGCACTGAGAACAAGGTTCCTGCCGCTGAGGACTACGTTCCTGGCGCTGAGGAAAAAGTCCTGGCGCTGAGGACAAGGTTCCTGGCGTTGAGGAGTAGGTTCCTGGAGCTGAGGACAAGGTTCCTGGAGCTGAGAACAAGGTTCCGGTCGCTGAAGTCAAGGCTCCAGGCGCTGAGGACAATGCTGCTGGCGCTGAGGACAAGGTTCCTGGCGCTCAAGTCAAGGTTGTATGTATGTATGTATGTATGTATGTATGTATGTATGTATGTATGTATGTATGTATGTATGTATGTATGTATGTATGTATGTATGTATGTATGTATGTATGTATGTATGTATGTATGTATGTATGTATGTATGTATGTATGTATGTTTGTATGTATGTATGTATGTATGTATGTATGTATGTATGTATGTATGTATGTATCTATGTATCTATGTATGTATGTAAACTTTATTTAAAGACGTTAGCCTCGTCAACGATTTGTTGATTTTCACGAGGGACGTCTGTTACTATTAAAAATTACAAATATGGTATAGAAAAGAATAAAGAATTATATACAACTATTTACAATACAAGAATTAAGTTCCAAACGGTGTGACCCATATTCTAAAGCATGCATATACAATATATTAGAAGATGTTAGCGTGAATCTTTCAGGCAGTTTTTAAAAGAATAAATTGATTGCGCTAGCTTCGCATCAGAAGGAAGACTATTCCACAATTTAGCTCCGCTATACTTAAAGCTTTTTTTTAGAAATTCTCGTTTTGGCTTAGCAAGGGTAAGGTCAGTATAAGTATTGCGAAGATTATAACTGGTTTGAACAAGGTTCCTTCTCGTTAGAGCATCCTTCAAGTTCGGCCCAGCGCAATCATTCAGGACTTTATACATTAATGTGGATTTAGTTGTACGTTGTCTTATCTCTAAATTTTCCCAAGCAAGGGATCGAAGAACATCAGCAGACCTTATTTCATAGCTGGCGCCGGTTATAATTCTCGCTGCACGGTTTTGGAACTTTTGAAGCTTATCTTTCAGCGGCTGGTTACAGACGTCCCATAATGGACTACAATAATCAAAATATGGTTCTATCAAAGCTCTGTAAATGGTATGCAGGGTATTTATAGGAACATATGGCTTAATTCGTTGCATTGCTCCTATGCCGGCCCCAACTTTCTTACAAATCATTTCAACATGCTCATGCCAATTAAGGTTTTAATCAAGTTTAACCCCAAGGCATGTGTATGAATGAGCAAGAGTTATGAATTGGTTATTCATCATTACTGGAATATCATAAGTCATAGTATCAGTATTATACTTTGAACCGATATACATTAATTTGGTCTTAGTTGGGTGGTGTTGCAGTTTATTTCGAGCAAGCCACTCACCGACTTTTTTCAGGTCATTTAGATTTTCAGTAAGTTCCTCAATAGTTTTGGCAGAAGTAGAAATTTGAATATCATCAGCGTATAGGTGTGGCGAAGTTTTTTCGAGGCATTCGGGTAAATCATTAATATATAATAAAAACAGCGAGGGACCAAGAATTGATCCCTGCGGAACTCCGCACACAATCGTTTTAGGTGATGACATTGCACCGTTGACAATGCATGCTTGCTCTCTATTAGTTAGATAGGACTTAAACCAATCCAGTTCCACATTTTTTATTCCAAATTGATCATTCATCTTTTGCAATAAGATTGTATGATCAATAGAATCAAAAGCTTTTCTAATAAGTGTTCAGTATGATGCAGCAAAATTAATTTCTGGAGCAATGAAAGGTACACACAGAGAAAGTGTGTTGATTGATTGCGGGTTGCATACGTTAAATAACCGGAGAAAAATACAAAAGTTGTTATTATTGTACAAAATGGTTAAAGGTTTAGCTCCAAGTTATTTGTCGGATCTTTGTCCTGTTTACTTAAGCCAAAGAACTACATATAGGCTTCGGACTAGGAATGATTTAAGTTTACCTTTCATTCGTACCGAGAAAGCAAAAAAATTCTTTTTGTATTCGACAATTTTTTCATGGAATAATCTTTCTGAATCCACGAGAGAATCTGCAACATTTGTTCTCTTTAAAACTGCTTTATTACGTGAACAATTTTATATACCTCCTGTCAATAGACTGGTTTATTTGGGTGACCGGTATTTTTCGGCCTTACACACAAGATTAAGACTAAACAATTGTGGTCTTAATCATTATCTTTTTTCAATGAACTGTGTTCTATCTCCATCTTGTATCTGTGGTGCACTTAGTGAAGATGTAACTCATTATTTATTATTTTGCCCTCGCTTTGCTGCTCTGCGTGCTTCAATGCTTACCTCTGTCATGCGCCTTGCTGGAAATGTATGGAACGTTTCGAATATTTCTCAACAAGTGGACATTCTATTACATGGTTCAAGAAATCTAAGTTTTGAAGTAAATGCTGTAATTTTCTCTGAAGTACAATGGTATATTGGTAGTTCTGCACGCTTCGCATAGGATGTTTATGCAATTGCCAAGCGATCCTTTTTTGTCTGTACTTGTGGTGGTAATAGACACTTCCCGAATTTGCTTGAGTGCACACGAAACAATAGCTTGGAATCGAGGCGGACAATGTAATACAATGATTACATTGTCCGCCTCGATTCCAAGCTATTGTTTCGTGTGTACTCAAGCAAATTCGGGAAGTGTCTATTGTAATGTAATACTGTAATTTATGTTTGCATGAACCCCCTCGATGAGCTCTAAGCTCTTGGGGTAAATGTTTCCAAATATTGTTTAAATAAAAAAAAAATATCAAGGAAAACAACACCACTCAGTTGACCATTATCCATGTTCTCATAAAGTGTGTCACACATTTGAATGAGTGTTGTTAAAGTTGAATGCTTAGGCCGAAAGCCAGATTGATGTTTAGATAGCAGCGAATTATCATTCAAAAACTTATAAATCTGGTTGAAAACCGATCTCTCTAGTATTTTACTGACAATAGGCAATATAGATCTCGGTCGGTAATTTTCACATCTTTGTCTATCATCAGATTTAAAAATTGGCATTACCCACGCCTTTTTCCATTCATCAACATATATCCCAGTTTTGATTGAAAGATTATAAATCCATGTTAATGAAGGACCAATAATTTCCGCGGACAATTTAGGAGCTATAGCAGGGATGTTATCAATACCGGTAGACTTTGAAATTTTAAGATTACGTAATTGACAAATAATATCCATACTAATTTCAGAAAACTTCAAATTTATATTAGAGTAACAGTTAGCTATATAGAGTGGTAATTTTCATCATCTGAAAAGTTCGTACATGGAGAATCGTTCTCAATTTCATTAGCCAAATTTACCCCGATGTTAACAAAGAAGTCATTAAACGCCTCAGCTTTCAAAGTATCATCTAAAATCACAACATCATCACATTTAAGTTGAGAGATATTATTTGATTTTTTGTTTTTAACTAAGAGAATATTAATTAACTTCCAACTATGTTTCATATCTTTCGATTGTGCGCAGTTCTCAAATTTGTTACAGAAAAATACTGTTTTAGCTTTAGTTCTGAATTGACTTTGTTACGTATTTCTTTGAATTTTTCCCAGTGAATCTGGGAATTATTTTTAACAGCCATTTTCTTGTAAGAGTCCCTAACCCCCATCAGATTTTTGATATCAGGGGAAATCCAAGGAATAGAATTTCCTCTAAGTCTCATCAGTCTTAGGGGCGCATGCCAATAAAGGACGTGTAGGAAAAGGGATCTCCATACCCGCCAACAAACATTTGGGTTATCATAAAGCGCCACATTTTCCCAGGGCATCTGGGAAAGATCATTAAGAAAGTTATTGGCATTGAATCTTTTGAAATTACGAACATATCTTGTCTTTTGCCGAGATTTAGTGACACCTTGTCCTCAGCGTCAGGAACCTTGTCCTTAGCGTCAGGAACCATGTTCTCGCGTCAGCAACCTTGTCTTTGCGCCAGGAACCTTGTCCTCGCGTCAGCAACCTTGTCCTCAGCGTCAAGAACCTTGTGCTGAGCGTCAGGGGTTATCATAAAGCGCCACATTTTCCCAGGGCATCTGGGAAAGATCATTAAGAAAGTTATTGGCATTGAATCTTTTGAAATTACGAACATATCTTGTCTTTTGCCGAGATTTAGTGAGTACCTTGTCCTCAGCGTCAGGAACCTTGTCCTCAGCGTCAGGAACCTTGTCCTTAGCGTCAGGAACCATGTTCTCGAACCTTGTCACCTTGTCCTCAGCGTCAGGAACCTTGTCCTCAGCGTCAGGAACCTTGTCCTTAGCGTCAGGAACCATGTTCTCGCGTCAGCAACCTTGTCCTCTGCGTCAGGAACCTTGTCCTCGCGTCAGCAACCTTGTCCTCAGCGTCAAGAACCTTGTGCTGAGCGTCAGGAACCTTGTCCTCAGCGTCAGGAACCTTGTCCTCAGCGTCAGGAACCTTGTCCTCAGCATTAGAAACCTTGTCCTCAGCGTCAAAAACCTTGTCCTCAGCGTCAGGAACCTTGTCCTCAGCGTCAGGAACCTTGTCCTCAGCGTCAGGAACCTTGTCCTCAGCGTCTGGAACCTTGTTCTCAGCATTAGAAACCTTGTCCTCAGCGTCAAGAACCTTGTCCTCAGCGTCAGGAACCTTGTCCTCAGCGTCAGGAACCTTGTCCTCAGCGTCTGGAACCTTGTCCTCGCGTTAGGAACCTTCTCCTCAGCGTCAGGAACCTTCTCCTCAGCGTCAAGAGCCTTGTCCTCAGCGTCAAGAACCTTGTCCTCAGCGTCAGGAACCTTGTCCTCAGCGTCAGGAACCTTGTCCTCAGCGTCTGGAACCTTGTTCTCAGCATTAGAAACCTTGTCCTCAGCGTCAAGAACCTTGTCCTCAGCGTCAGGAACCTTGTCCTCAGCGTCAGGAACCTTCTCCTCACCGTCTGGAACCTTGTCCTCGCGTTAGGAACCTTCTCCTCAGCGTCAGGAGCCTTGTCCTCAGCGTCAGAAACTTTTCCTCAGCGTTAGAAACCTTGTTCTCAGCGTCAAGAACCTTGTCCTCAGCGTCAAGGAACCTTGTCCTCAGCGTCAGGAACCTTGTCCTCAGCGTCAGGAACCTTGTCCTCAGCGTTAGAAACCTTGTCCTCAGCGTCAAGAACCTTGTCCTCAGCGTCATCCTTGTCCTCAGCGTCAGGAACCTTGTCCTCAGCGTCTGGAACCTTGTTCTCAGCCGTCAGGAACCTTGTCCTCAGCGTCTGGAACCTTGTTCTCAGCATTAGAAACCTTGTCCTCAGCGTCAAGAACCTTGTCCTCAGCGTCAGGAACCTTGTCCTCAGCGTCAGGAACCTCCCAAATTTGTTACAGAAAAATGCTGTTTTAGCTTTAGTTAGTTCTGAATTGACTTTGCTACGTATTTCTTTGAATTTTTCCGAGTAAATCTGGGAATTATTTTTAACAGCCATTTTCTTGTAAGAGTCCCTAACCCTCATCAGATTTTTGATATCAGGGGAAATCCAAGGAATAGAATTTCCTCTAAGTCTCATCAGTCTTAGGGGCATATGCCAATAAAGGACGTGTAGGAAAAGGGATCTCCATACCCGCCAACAAACATTTGGGTTATGATAAAGCGCCACATTTTCCCTGGGCATCTGGGAAAGATCATTAAGAAAGTTATTGGCATTGAATCTTTTGAAATTACGAACATATCTTGTCTTTTGCCGAAATTTAGTGACACCTTGTCCTCAGCGTCACGAAGCTTGTCCTCAGCGTCAGGAACCTTGTCCTTAGTCTCAGGAACCATGTTCTCGCGTCAGCAACCTTGTCCTCAGCGTCAAGAACCTTGTCCTCAGTGTCAGGATCTCCATACCCGCCAACAAACATTTGGGTTATGATAAAGCGCCACATTTTCCCTGGGCATCTGGGAAAGATCATTAAGAAAGTTATTGGCATTGAATCTTTTGAAATTACGAACATATCTTGTCTTTTGCCGAAATTTAGTGACACCTTGTCCTCAGCGTCACGAACCTTGTCCTCAGCGTCACGAAGCTTGTCCTCAGCGTCAGGAACCTTGTCCTTAGTCTCAGGAACCTTGTCCTCAGCGTCACGAACCTTGTCCTCAGCGTCACGAAGCTTGTCCTCAGCGTCAGGAACCTTGTCCTTAGTCTCAGGAACCATGTTCTCGCGTCAGCAACCTTGTCCTCAGCGTCAAGAACCTTGTCCTCAGTGTCAGGAACCTTGTCCTCAGGTCTGGAACCTTGTCCTTAGCGTCAGGAACCTTGTCCTCAGCGTCTGGAACCTTGTTCTCAGCATTAGAAACCTTGTCCTCAGCGTCAAGAACCTTGTCCTCAGCGTCAGGAACCTTGTCCTCAGCGTCTGGAACCTTGTCCTCAGCGTCAGGAACCTTGTCCTCAGCGTCAGCAACCTTGTCCTCAGCGTCTGGAACCTTGTTCTCAGCGTCAGGAACCTTGTCCTCAGCGTCAGGAACCTTGTCCTCAGCGTCTGGAACCTTGTTCTCAGCATTAGGTGTCAGGAACCTTGCCCTCAGCGTCAGAAACCTTCTCCTCATCATTAGAAACCTTGTCCTCACCGTCAAGCACCAACCTTGTTCTCAGCGTCAGGAACCTTGTCCTCAGCGTCTGGAACCTTGTCCTCAGCGTCAGGAACCTTGTCCTCAGCGTCAGGAACCTTGTCCTCAGCGTCAGCAACCTTGTCCTCAGCGTCTGGAACCTTGTTCTCAGCGTCAGGAACCTTGTCCTCAGCGTCAGGAACCTTGTCCTCAGCGTCTGGAACCTTGTTCTCAGCATTAGAAACCTTGTCCTCAGCGTCAAGAACCTTGTCCTCAGCGTCAGGAACCTTGTCCTCAGCGTCTGGAACCTTGTCCTTAGCGTCTGGAACCTTGTCCTCGCGTTAGGAACCTTCTCCTCAGCGTCACGAGCCTTGTCCTCAGCGTCAACATCCTTTTCCTCAGCGTTAGAAACCTTGTCCTCAGCGTCAAGAACCTTGTCCTCAGCGTCAGGAATCTTGTTCTCAGCGTCAGGAACCTTGTCCTCAGCGTAGGAACTTTGCCCTCAGCGTCAGCAACCTTGTGCTCAGCTACAGGAACCTTGTTCCTCAGCGTCAGGAACCTTGTCCTCAGCGTCTTGAACCTTGTCCTTAGCGTCAGGAACCTTGTCCTCAGCGTCAGGAACCTTGTTCTCAGCGTCAGGAACCTTGTTGTCAGGGTCTGAACCTTGTCCTCAACGTCAGGAACCTTCTCCTCAGCGTCAGGAACCTTGTTCCCAGCGTCAAGAACCTTGTTCTCAGCGCAGGAACTTTGCCCTCAGCGTCAGGAACCTTGTGTTCAGCTACAGGAACCTTGTTCCCAGCGTCAGGAACCTTGTCTTCAGCGTCGGGAACCTTTTCCTCAGCGTCAGGAACCTTGTCCTCAGCGTCAGGAATCTTGTCTTCAGCGTCAAGAAGCTTGTCCTCGGCGTCAGCAACCTTGTCCTCAACGTCAGGAACCTTGTCCTCTGCGTCAGCAGCCTTGTCTTCTCAGCGTCAGGAACCTCGGGAAGGACCGCCGAAGTTTTTGGCTCTTGTGCATTCGAGTGCGAGATCATATAAATTTGATTATCGCGTATCATGTTTATTATAATAATCACTATAATAATCACAGTTCACAAAACAGTCATCCTTAATTCTCATTTCACGAAGCATTTTTATCAACAATCACGCTTTGCGGCTGTAGAACATATCACATTTCAGGATACTAAAATCAAGCATTTCATATTTCAGTCACGCGAACAAGTATTGACCATTCACGGCTCACGAAAATACCGTTTCTCACCCTCATCTAGGACATGATCTGGGGAACGCTCCCCTGAAAATTCTCTTTAAATCTGGATTCTCTGAAATAATCTTTCCTGCATTCTGAAGGTCATTTAACGACACGTTTTACCACGATTTTACTGATGTTTCAATGACAACTTTAATAATTATGGTTAATGCAAATATGAACTATTTTAGAATTTCCTGTTAGGCTGGAGAGTTTGTCGCTCAGCCGGAAGCTATATTTATGTTGTGTCGAATAGCTTGAGCAGCATCGCAAAAACCATCATGGAGATGATTGTGTTTACATATGATATGGCCAGCTGATTTTTTCCCGCAGAGTCTGAAATTACCGAAAATATATTGTAGTGGTAACATAGGGATAGTAGAGAATTGTAGTGATAACGTAGGGATGGTAGAGGACATTCAGTGGTGCACGACAGGGAATGTGACAGGTTTCGTCTTGCCCATCATACTCAGCGCGCTTTAGGGGCGGACGATTAAAAAAGTGATGGGGTGGAACCGCGTCGCGCAGGGGAAACAGAAAGAAAAAAATTCGTACACCAAGAAAGTTTGAAAAAAAATTCGTGCAGAGACTTTTCAATATGGAAAATTATAATTTGAAATAAGAACAAATTTGGGCAAGGAATTATATTTTTTAAAATTTATCGGCACAAGCAAAAAAATTAAAAAACAATATTCGTACAAGTTAAAAAATCAACCTCCCCTCCACCCCCCTCCCCCGCCTCCATCACTTTTGTAATAGTCCGCCCCTTAGTATTAAGTAATTTGAAAATGATATGAACAGACCTGGAAAAAGTGTTCAATGTTCCTCGTATCCTGAATTTTCCTTTTTCAAATGTTCGTCAATTATGTTAGTTGTAAAATTGCTGAACAAACAAAACATTCGTCTTCAAATTCTATTAACAAGATATGATGATCGAACACCTCTTAATCTCAAATTAGACTCAAAATGGCAGATAACTAAATACGATTCCTTAAAATTCTCCCGTAAAGCACGCGTGAAAAATTCAAAATGTTCCTCAATCACGTTGCTAAAGCAAATGTCCTCGGGATCCAGGATCCCACTTTTTTCCACGTCTGGATATGAAATGATGTAATCGTATCAATTTCTTCCTCGAAACACCAGTGCGGCGTTCCGCTCTTCCAAGTGGTGCGTGTTGTACCGGATTGGTTTTTCCAAAGTTCTCATTGCAATGTAAACACCAATCGCAGCAATTTGGGTTCGATTATATTCGTGATTCACGATGGAGGGTCCTGAAGGGGGGCGGGGGTCCCAATCCCATTTCCTACCTGAAATTTTGGCAAATCACAGTTCCAGTTGGATTTTTATCAGAAATCCCAGTCCGATCGCGAGTTATTGAAATCCCAGTCAATAAAAACCCCTTTATTTTTCTGTAGAAAAACAGTTTTAAGACCTTTTAGGCCACCTTGTGTGGGACATTTTATGAAATATTGGGGGGGGGGGGGCTCGTGCCGAAGGCACATCCCGGAAATGGCATTTGCAGCATTCTGAGACACGGATAATCAGAAAACCCAGAATTCCGGGCGCCACAATATGCCTGAATAACAAAAATCATGACCTTTAATAACAAAAATCATAACCAAAGACATCAAAAACGAATCAAAATTGTATTTTAGAATACTTAAAACATAGAAAAATTGGGAATCGACTCGCATTACCTCAATCCCATTTCCATTTTTGAGAACTTCATTTCCCATTTCCAGTGGCCAAATCCCAGTCCCAGCAACCCAAATTCTATTTTCCATGTCTAAAAATAGATCAATCCCAGTTCCCATTTTTCCCCTTCAGGGCCCTCATGATGGCGTCTATATATAGCAAACATAATTTTTTCAAACATAAAAATTTTACCACATTGCACCCAATAACTGAATTGCGTGGTTTACATGTATCACTAGGAAAGCACTACTCTACTTATATTATTAATATACTGCACATGTACATGAGTTTATGAATTTACAGATTATATTTAAAGGTAGGTTACAGTCCCATCTGCGCATGCGCGGGCTTTGTTTACGTTTTTTGTTTTGATCCACATTAATTATATAAGATGAAGTATATGACGAGTTAAAATTAAGTAAAATTCCACATAATTTGTGACCAAGGAGCACGGGCTTTAGGACAAATTCAATTCGACAACAATAGTATTCTATCTAAATAGTACTTAAAATAAAGTGTACGTTACCTGAACTGTTCAACATCTTGCTTCTGTATCCATAAAACATTTACATCACAGAATAAGGACCTGATTTACATATATGCAAATACTGTATATTTTCAAAATACGCCATATTTATTTACATTAGAACCCAAGCTTTCCCGGTTCACGCGAAATAGCAACGTCGGTGACTTTCACTAATAATAGGGAGCTTTAGATTTGACTACGAGTACGACTACGAGTACGAGATTTGATCGCGTGCTAGGAAATTACCGTAGTCGTTTTCGTTTCCATACAAATGTTGCTTTTATAGCAGTAAACCAACAATGAGGGAAAAAGTTTCATAAACTAAATCTCTTGCACACTAAAATCCCCTAGAAAACGTGCAAATAAGTCATAATATTAAAAACAGGCCAGGTATTTAGTACTAATATATTATTTGCGCCGGATAAACGCTATATAAATGCTACAAATTATTTTTGTAAAACAAAAAAAGCCAACTTTCTTTGTTTTTTTGAAAAGTCGTAGTGAGGACTACGAAATTTCTCCACAATTTCGTACTTAGATGGGCGACGGCTACGACTTTTTCGCGTCAGTACCGGATGGCGTAAGCACACAGCATGCGTTTCGCTTGACGAATCTCGTGCTCGTAGTCGTACTCGTAGTCAAATCTAAAGCTCCCTAATAATAGGGTAGGATCATCTAATTGTTCAATCGTTCGAAGCGCGAGGAAACCATGCTTCCATATATGGCACAAACATGTCCCCAACTTCCTTATATGGCACAAACGTGTCCCCAAAATATTTTATCGAAGCCGTTATGATGTCATAAGATTCTTCCCGCCCGGAACGATTTGAACAGGTCATAATAATATACAGGAAAATATACAGTATTAGCATACAGGTAAAAATTTTATGGACAAAGAAGCAAGATATTGAACAAGGCCTATTTTGAGGGGCAAGGTCGCCGTTATTATGTGCAACATTGTGCGACATTAGGCGACATTGGCAATTTTCAAAGAAAAGTAGTGTGCGTCGCTGGGCGACATTGAGCGACATTAGGCGACATTGGACAAAACTGAACAGCAATATGCCAATTTATAAAAAAAAAACATGCAGGAAACTAACAAATAAATAAGGAATAGACTAGAATGGACGACAAACTCAAAGTGCAAAATTGGGCATGCTTGTGCGAGATTATGCGACATTAGGCGAAATTAGGCGACATTAAGCGAATAGACTGTAAGGCAAAGTTTAAAAATTGGGCGCACATAGCGAAATTGGGCGACATTAGGCGACCTTGGCCCCCAAAGTAGGCCTTTGAACACTTCGGGTGCCGTACACTTTATTTTAACTGCTATTTATATAGAATACTATTGTTGTCGAAGCTTTCTATCGATGCCTTAATACTCGCGTATCAAAAGACAGTCCAGTAAGATAAAAAGCAGGTTATACCAGGTGCATAATCGAAAAAGACGTGAAAGTTAATATTATGCGGTTTCGAACCTTGCGTTCCCTATGACCTTCAAGGCCTCTGCAGCAGAAACTGAAATTTGTCACGGTCTGAAAATTATATCTTTAGAATCTACTGTCCCATAAGTTTTCTATCGATGCCTTACTCGTGTATCAAAAGACAGTCCATCAAGAAACAAAGCAGGTTATTCCTGGTGCATAATCAAAAAAGACGTGAAAGTTAATAATTATTATGCGGTTTCGAACCTGATGTTCTATTGAATTTCAAGGCCCTTGTAGCAGAAACATGAATTTGGGCCAGCCTCAAAATTGTATTTCTGAAATCTACGATCCATAAGCTTTCTGCGTTGCCTCACTCGTGCATCACTAGGCCGGACGTGGAGATAAAAAGAAGTTTTTTCCAGCTGTCTAATCGAAAAAAACATGAAAGTTAGTATTATATAAGTGAGCGTTTAGGCTGTTTCGAGTCTGACGTTCTGTTAAATTTCAGAGCCTCTGCAGCAGAACTGGAATTTGTCACGGTCTGAATATTATATTATTAGAATCTTCTGTCCATAAGTTTTCTATCGATGCCTTACTCGTGTATAAAAAGACAGTCCATGAAGAAACAAAGTTAATATTATGCGGTTTCGAACCTGATGTTTTAATGAATTTCAAGGCCCTTGTAGCAGACACTTGAATTTCAGCCAGCCTGAAAATTGTATTTCTGAAATCTACCATCAACAAGTTTTCTGTCGATGCCTCATTCATGCATCACTAAGCCGGAAGTGGAGATAAAAGGCAGTTTTTTCCAGCTGTCTAATCGAAAAAAACGTGAAAGTTAGTATTATATAAGTGCATGAGGGTTAGGGTTGGATTTTCTACTGGATATAAAGGTCCCTGTAGCGGAAACGTGAATTTGACACGGTCTGAAAATTGTATTTTTAAAATCTACCGTCCAAAAGCTATCTATGGATTAATTACTCGTGTAGTATCAAAAGACAGCTCGTGAAGAAACAAAGCAGGTTATTCAAGGTGTATAATCGAAAAAGACGTGAAAGTTAATAT